GTGGTTAGCACTTCTGCTTTACAGCACTGGGAGGGGGGGGGGGTCCCTGGTTGAAATCCTGGTCAAGGGCGCTATCTACAAGGAGTTTGCATGTTCTCCCTCTTTCTGCGGGTTTCCTCTGGATACTCTGGTTTCCTCCTACACTCCAAAGACATGCTGATAGGTTGATTGGCTCCTGTCTAAATTGGCCCTAGTGTGTATATGCATGTGAGATAGAGACCTTAGATTGGAAGCTCCCTGAGGGCAGTGACTGATGTGCACTGTGTAAAAGTGCTGCGTAAATTGTCAGTGCTATATAAATACCCAAACTAAAAAAACACATTTCTAAATAGTCGACAGAACTAAGGAAAGTTTTTTTTGTTTTTTTTTAAGGAAGCAAAAAAAAAACTCAGGACAGGTTCACACTGTTTTTTGATTTGGTGTGTTGATGCATTCTTTTATGTTAGTGCTTGTCATTAACCAGAAGACACCATTAGGTGTCGTTTTCCCTTGAGCTTCCTCTTGAGTCTTATTAATACCATGTCCTTACTTTGTGTTGTTTTGCATGTGGAGTGTGAAACATCCCAATCCTCAAACATTCCTCAGGCAATTTCTTCCCATGATAAAAATATTCGCGCTAATGGCTTTTCCACCCTTCAAAATTACAAAAATAGTGACAGCTGCAGTGAAAAACCAAGAAGTGAAAAAACAATGATGCTTGCTGCAATCTTTGTATTGGTGGTGGGCAGTTATGAGGCTGGACTTTTTGCCAACTCAGCCTGAGCTCACTCCTGTGATGGACTACAATCTCACATTTTAGTTAGCTCATTTTGTATTGAGAATGTAGTCCATCACTGGAGTGAGCTTGGAGTGGTGGCTACTTTACAACACACACAGGGACCATGGGGAACAAAAATTTAACTTTCCGAGATGAGAAAGAGGGATACCTTCCAGCACAATGTGTTTAGGCAATGTATGCATTTTTATGACCCATTTATTTCCCATTTACCTTTGCGATTTCAAAATGCCAATGAAAAAGTAAACAAGTTAATTGGGAGATAAGATAAAGGTTATAATGCAGAATAACACCATTCATAGATATGTGTACATCAGACCAAAAAGATGGGAAACTGAGGAGACAAGATGGACAGAGGGATTTGATTCCCAAAAAGGGGACAGTCAGGAGGTATGCTAGTTTCCTATCTGAGCTTATTTGCAATATAGAGTTCCCCAGGTATTGGGGCTCACAGCAAACTCTTAAAGAAATAAAAAGATGTGTGGATTCCTGAAGCCTACTATTGGATCCTGCAGGTATTTTAATATCTGTGCATTTATTACACATTTGCTTTAAGGACTGAAAGACTTGTATGCCATATTACCATGAGAGTGGTATAGACACATTAGTGTTCACCCAAATAAAAAATTGGGTAAGGCTTCTTCAGCACACTGAGAAACTGTCTCATGCATGCAATTTCTGATGTGTTATCAACATTTCCTTTACATCGGGATATGATTAAATAAAGGCATCATACTAGGCTTATTTATTATCTCTGTGTGATCATATTGTTTTTATAGCTTAACTATAAGCCGACAGATAATAGTTTTAGATAG